GCGGTGCCCTAGCTCTTGCTGGAGCTGGAGGTGTGCTGACCACATCAATTCCATTCTTTGTACATCACCTCCAAGCAGAGGTCCCAGCCCAGGTGAGACACAGAGGGCTCTCTAAGAAGGGTGGCTCTTAATCAGGAGTGCAGTGGCCCACAGCTCTTCCTCTCATCCAGCTCCACCCTGCGCTGGGTGAGGTCATTAGGTGCTAGCTGCAAAGGAGTAGCCAGGAGAGACAAGAGCCACATGCTAGTCTATAGTTACGGGAAATGATCCAACAGGTAGTGTTCACATTATGGTGGACTAAACAGAATGATGTAAAAAGAAAAAAACTAAGAGGAAAAAGAAGAACTAAATAGACGCCTTCCAAGGACGTGACGTTTGCAGGAGGAGCCTCTTTCAGGAAGAGGCAGAGGCTGCTTTCCTAGCAGACAGTAAATGCAAAGACCTTCGGTGGGAAGGAGCTTAGAAAACAGGTGCACAGAGAGCCAGGAAACAGGATCACTAAATGAGATGGCCAAGGTGGGCTGGAGTCACAGCACAGGGTCCTGGAACCATGCCAGCATGGGAAGAAAGAACAAGCTCCCTTCTGTTAGCGTAGGAAGTATTCCCCAGCCTCCAGATTGTGCCACTCGCCTTGTTTCTCTTGCCCCTTGTCACATGTTATTTCCCTCTGGATTTCCCATTAAGTTCAGCAAGGGTCAGAAGGTCTATTACACCCTTCCCTGCTGTTGGTCCCAAGAGAGGAGAGGGGAGAACTCTGAGAATAGATACAACAGAGCAGTGCCCTCTGTCCATCAGAACTCAGCTATACACACTCCCTGCTAGGAAGTGTGGCTGGAAAGAGGCCTCGGCTTATAACCTGGGTCACCATTCCATTAAGCCTAGGACCAGAGCCTGCTCTTCCTATGAGACCTGGGAATGCACACACTGGTGTTTCACGGTGAATTTTAATCCTCAGTTATAGAAGTGAGAGCAGCAGAAATCAAACGGGAGTTGTGAGTCACAGCTCTCTTCACCCCGAATTAGTTCACTCGCTTCTGCACTCATTCGTGTATTGGTTCAGAAATGTGCCAGGGTCTGCATCCTCAAAGAAAACTGAAAAGGCAACGACAGTGGCTCAATCCAGTGTCAGCCAAGCAGCCGATGAGAAACGGTCACACTCTAGAACTACTTCATGACGCCAACAGAATTCCCCATGATGCTGGGACTGGTGGAACTGCAACTATCTGAGACAGGAAACAGAGAGGAGAAGCTGGGAGGAAGGGGTTGGAGCTTGGCCTCGGCCTTGGCTACGTGAAGCTGAAGACACCTGTGAGATGCCTCAGACGTGATGTCAGGCAGGCCATTGGATATGTGAGCCTAAAGTCAAGGGGAGAATGCAGGATACATGAGCACCTGCTGTTGAGTCATGGGACCAAACTAAGCACTTAGTGCGATGCTAAAGAAAGCAAGGCATAAGAGGAATCCTAAAAGGAGACTTGGAAGAAGCAGCTTTGGGTGATAGGAATTCCAGGAGGACATGGGTGTATTAGAAGCAATAGCTTGAACAAAGTTATTTTTCTGTTTTGAGTCTCAAAGGTCAAGAGTTTGCATCCTATGCTTTCCGGAACACTTTCTGAAGACTCCATTGTAACAATCACCCCACAGCACGTCTTCATTGTGGGTTTGACTTGGGGCTCAGAAGAATATCAGCTGCCGGATTCATTTCTGTAAATAAAGTTTTATTGGTACACGCCCATTCCTGTTTGCTTACATTCCACCCATGGCTATTTGTGCATCACAAGAGCAGAGCCCCGGTGGTTCACACTCTACTTCCGTTATCTGAGTCATTACAGAAAACAGCTGCTCACTCTTGGGGTTCAATGTCACTTACTCATTTCTTTCAGGAATGTTGAACCAAGGGTTTTCAAAAAAAGTTAAAGTTCTGCTTTGTGGGTAGTAGGTGTGTTGCATGTGTCTTGCACACACATGTGTTATATATGACTAAGAGAGAACGTAGATCATTCAAGTTGAAATGGCAGGTGTGCTTAAATAAAACAACATAAACTCAGGGCAAAAGTTGTGATGGTGATGTTACTGGATGAACTGTATCCACACCTGCCAAAAATGCACACGTTGGAACGCTCCGTCCCAGCAGCTCTGCCCATGACTGGCCTGCAGACAAGCTCTTCAAGGGCATGGTCAGGCCAGAGCAGTTCTCTAACCTGGTGCTCCACAGAGGGAAGTGAGGCCACACACCACAGAGATGTGCACCCATGGAGGAGAGGCTATGATGCAGAGAGAGGACCGATGCCCACAAGCCAAGGAGAATGAGTCAGGACAAACCAAATCAGCCAACACCTTGATCTTGAAGACTTTTTGGCAAGGAAATAAAATCTCTACTGTGCAAGCCATCCGGTCTGTGGTTTTTGTTTTGGCAGCCTAGCATGAGCAGAAATGAAAGTCACAATACTGGAGTGAGGGCAGTAGGACTTGCTTTATCTCCACGGAGGTCTTACACAAACTGTGAGTCTGAAAGGGAAATGAGTGCAAGCAGCAGGCGACTGAGAGGAGGTCTGCAAAGACACTGGGGGCTCATTCATGAACACCACTCTGCAGGGCTTACAAGTGAGACTCCGAGAGATAAGGCACAGCTGTCCACTCACTGCTAACACTCTCCACTGGGGAAAGGACACGGGAGTCATCACTGCGGCCTGATCTGAGAAGAGCCATCACAGAGGTGTCTACCTGAGGGTCACGGTCAGCTTGGGAAGGAATGTGACAGCAGAGTGGAGCTCCAAAGGTCAGGGAAACATCAGCCAGCCAGGAAAGTGCTTCCCAGGCAGAGCAGACTTCACAGCCAAGCACACACGCAGAGTCTGCACTCAGTACTGCTCCCTCGGATTTGTCAAGGCTGGAATTTCTCCAGACACTGAGGTCTAGCAACCCCCAGGTGAACTGACAAAGTTGCTGTTGGCCCTGAGCTCAATTCGGCCTGCCTGGTCCCTGAAGCCACGGCTTGTTGCTCTCCTGAGCTGGATCCCTGCTCCCTGTTCACCTTGGCCTGGACCTGGACTTTTGTGTTCCAATCCAAAAGAACCACGGAGAATCTCGATGTTGCACCTGCTGAACTCCAAACACAGTCAGTGCCACAGTGTCCTCAACGCCAGAGTATCTCTGTTTGTCTAGGACTTACACAGCCACAGTTCTGCTTCTACCCACTGAAACAACTTGACTACTCAATGTTGTTTCTTAACTGACAGACATTGCTCATATTTATGGAGTAATAATGTGATAATATGGCACATGTACATAAATGCATGATCAGATAGAGTAATTAACATCTATTCATGTTGAGAACCTTGAACTCCATTCTCTTAATTATTTCAAGGTACATAACAGATTGTTGTAAACAGCAGCCACCCCATCTTGCAGTCAATGCTGTTACTACCACATGACAGGAACTGGACTGAGCTCACAGTCAATCACAGAGTCAAGACTCATGCTCAGACATTTCGACACCAAGAGCTGTACACTTAACCCTTGAGCTATCCTATCCTACACAAACAATCTCTGGGGATCCGAGGGGTGACTTGGGTCCCTGGGGATTGCGACTCAGGTGGCAGGCTACCCTTCACCACTGTAAGAAGCACGTCCAAGGTGGATGGCCTTATGCATTTCTGCTTTCCTTTCCAACAGACCCAGGAGGCATGGTTCTAAGTACACCTCACTGTCAAGCCTGCATGGGTAAAGATGGTTCTACCAGAGAAGAGGAATTGCCTCAGGCCCAAGAAGCAAGTAAGGATTTCAAGGTGGCACCCCGGGAGGAGTGACACTCAGAATCAACTCAGTCATCAGAGAGGGCTGGCAACCTATATTATTATCTTAGGTTTTCCAGCCATAGGAGTTCTTTTAAGGTTATTGTTTTGGAAATTTTATTTTTCAGGTTAGGTAAGACATCACGGAAAATCCAATGCTTTTTATGGATTTTGAATCTTCTCCAAAGGATTCACTCTACCAAAGAAAGCTGCTTCCACTGGAGACTAGGATCTTGGAGACAAGTAGGGGGAGGAAGGACCCCACTTGAAAACAAGGGGTGCCAGGGGGCAGCCTTGTTCACAGTTGCTGACTCCATCCCAGGCGTCTCCACTCCCACTCAGCCTCATGAGGCCATTCCCAAGCCATGGCAGCTTCAATAGCGACACCACAATGAGTCCCAGTGTGGCTGAGGCCAGGAGACTGGGGAGTCCCACAGCAAAAGCAGATGTCATCAGCCCTGGAGGCAGGCAAGTTGCTCTACGCTGCCAGGGCATAATGCACGGGCCCTGTGGGTGGCATAATGTGGTATTCATCCACTTTCTACTCTGCAGAGTGGGGACAGAACAATCCAGACTTTGTTGGCAAAACCCTAGGGAAGAAGAACAGGAGGGGAAATGTGATCCCCATGACTTGTGCCTTTGCCTCCAAGACCTGATCAATGCATATTCATGGACTGAAGGATGACGCCGAGGAAGAGGTATGGCAGCGTTAGTCTGCACTTGGAGGTCAGTGTGCGCTCTAGGGTGGCATGCTCCAAGCAGTGAACTGTGGCACTCAAGCAAACACCCTCACATATACAGGATAGCCAAGCCGTTATTCCAGCATGTTCCCTTGTTGAGGATCTTCGGGCAAAGCCTCACCCTTCCTCGGACATGCATGGTCCAAAAGGGTCACGCTGGATGAAGAGCCGAAGGCAGAGCCAAAAACTTGGGCAACTGTATCATGTTTCATCAAGACAGTAAATGTTGGCCCTGAACCCACACCATCATTTCTGAAGTGAGCTGTTCTAGATTCAGAGGTTTTGGTGCTGTTCAATGTTGCCTGTTGCAGCTCACCCAGCCTCAGTCCCCAGGCAGCAAAACCAAGAGGAAACATGCTGAAGCAAAGAAATCAAACCTCCTCTCCACAGCTGGCCTCCTGTGGCTTCCCACGGAGCCATGGGCTAGGATTTAGCTGCTAGTCTAGCAGGGGCCGAACAGCCTTACCTGTCTTTCTGACATGATGTAGAGTTGCTCATGATCCTTGGAGAAGGCCATATCCCGGAGGACAGGGCCGGGCTCCACCACCTGCACAGTCTCGTACTGGAGAGCATTGCCCCTGGGCCCATCCACCCGGATCTGTGAAGAGAAACAGGAAAGCCAACATGAGTTCATACTCTGTGCTGAGTCAGCTTCAAGCGAAAGACCCTCCCACCAGCCAAGGGACAGGCAGTGAGCTCTATCCTGACACAAGCCCAGCTCAGGGTTCCTGATGGGAACGCCAAGGAGAAGGGGATGGGAGACGCCAAGCCAGGCTTCACCAAGAGTCTGGACTTGTTCCCTTGACCCCTAACATCTCAGGTTCAAGTCTTTGAGGACCTGTGGTTCTTTAGAGAAAAGGACAGCAGCTTCGGTGCCATCCTGCATTAGGAAGGCAATGTAATTTGCCACTGTGGTTGAACAATGGACAGCTAACTTCTGACACTGCCACCTGCATGCCACTGCTGTACCTTGGTCAGAACAAAGCAAGAGGTCCACCTGAGGAACTGTAGTTCTCGAGGAATTGTACCTCAAGTGGCCTGTCTCAGAAAATTGACATCACTAGCTTATAATTCAGGGTCTGGAGTAGATACGGATCCCGAACCCCCTACATGTTCCATGTGTGTCCCTAGGTGGAGAGATAGAAGCATTACAGGAAAATGGGCTCAGGCGAGTCATCCCCGACCCTCTGGAAACATTGAGCAGAGTGGATCATTCCCAGGCTACTGGGAAGTCCTTCCTTCCAAGAACTGAGTAAATATAACAGCAAGAGACTTTTGCCAGCGTACCCGTGACAGAGAAGGCCTAGTCCTCCCAGTCATGTGGAGTCACCACAGGCTGGGACACACTGCTTATCTGGGCCCTGTGTCTGAATACAGCTCTCTAAAACCATCAAGAGTTTGAGCACACGGGTCTAACAGGTCTATAGCCTGGTGCTAGTAACACTACCATTTATGTTGGGTGCAAATATTACTGAAAATGTGATTAGGAGAGAGCTAGAGACCACCAAACTCCAAACCCACCCAGGTACCATTAGTGTAAAACTCTGGGCATCCAAGCTATAACTTTAGAAACTTCATAACAAAATTAAGGTAAAAAACTATATTCTAAATGTCCCATTAAGTACTCTAATTTTAAATTTTAGTATACAATATTTTTTAAACGATTTACTTGCTTGAAAGGCAGAGGAGACAGAAAGTGGTGGAGGTCAAGAGTTAAAGAAGGAGAGAAGAGAAATATTCCAATGGTTGATTCTTTTCCCCAAATGGCCCCAAAGGCCACACAGGGTCAAGTTGAAGTCAGGAGCCTGGTTCTCCATTCTGGTTCACCATTCTGGTTGCAAAGGCACAAGCACTTGGTCCATCCTCCATTGCCTTCCCAAGTTCTTTACCAGTGATGACATAATTTTTAACCTCTCATGAGATCAAGGAGTGTAAGAATTACTCAGAGGCACTGCATTACAGAAAGGACACCCCACGAACAACAACACACCACATCAGGTCACTCGGAGTTCAACTGCTTCACGCCTCTCTCCTACCAGGTGATTTTCTGGTTTATGTGCTTGTTCCAAGTTCTGATTGTTTTGTTTTTCCTTTCGGGCCCTTGTATTTAAGCTTCCGAGACATCAGATACCAGGAGGTGTTTTGCTCCTAAGTCCTTACAGACAAGGTCCTCTTAATCGCATAGATGAGCGCTGTTGTTAGGGCTGACGTGGTCTCTCCACCTTCCTTTCTCACCTTCCTACTCCTACTTTCAAGGTTATGCCCCCAGGGTCCATATTATCAGTGGGAGAAAATGTCTAAGCACATTGAGCGACTGGCCTGAGCCGGAAAAGCTGGGGACATATTTGGAATCCAGCCATCAAGTCCTCACTTCTGAGAGAAGCTGCTGGTGCAGGGGCTTCTGGGGGAACTTCCAAGCGTCACTTGAACACAGGGAGCTGAGATCCGAGTCTGCCTCCAGTCTCCGCAGGTCCAGAGACAGTCTCTAGCCACTACTGAAGTTTAGCAGTCTTTATTCTCACTCTCTGTGTAAGGCAGAGAAAGAAACAGCTAGCTTCCATCTGCTGCCTTGCCAGCTGATCCCCATTAGTGGTCTTGGCTGGGTCAAGGCGACGGGGCTGGAGCTCCTGCCAGGTCTCCCACCTACTTGAGCCATCATCTGCCACTTTCAAGGGTGCACACTCGCAGGAAGCTATAACTGGAAGTAGAGGAGCTGGGACTAAATCGAAGCACACTGAGATGGGATGCAGGAGTCCCAAGGGACATGCCGATCATTGTGCCAAAGCCCCGCTCCTCTTCTTGATTTTGATGCTCATGTTTTCGCTACATCAATTTTTATTTTAAGATGAACAAATAAATGAATGAGTGAACACTCCTCTTTGTTCACTTCCAGTTAAGCTCATGGAACCACCAGGAGCAGCAAAAACCGGAGAAGGAATTAGAGAGTGGTGGTTAGCCCCGAAAATGGAAATACCTCAGGTTTCCAGAGCTCTTTTTCTGCATGTGCCCAATCCATCCAAAGTCCATACTGGCCAGGTCCTCATTTAATCTGAACGAAATGGGAGTTCAAGCAAAACCAATTGGGATTACCACCCAAGTCTGACCGTACACTGATGGCCTTGGCCCTCAGCCCAGCCGACTTCAGCCTCCTGGAGCTGCAGAAGAAGGTGACACTGAGTAACCTGGCTCCCCTCCAGCCTCCTCAGGCCACTGCATGAGCAGGCTCCGTGGAGAATGCTGGCGGAACTAAGTCCTATCCAGGCCCCTTGCTCCGATCCAGGGGAAATTGAATTCAGTGCCCGAGTGGTCGCCCTGATCACTTGTCTCCAGTGTCCTTGCTCCTGGAGACGGGGTGATGTGTTGGTAGGGTGGGCAGCGGAGGAAGCCAGGGGCAGGAGCAGAGGAGTGGTGGTCTTCTGAGGGGCACTGCATGGGTCATGTCTTCCCCTGTCCCCTGCACCACCAAAGTAGGAGTAAAACAGGAATGAATCTCTCCTTTTCCCCTCCCACCCCATTTTAAATACACAATCTATCTTAAATCCACAACTTAAAAAAAGAGGAAAGAAAAAAGAGGGGAAAGCATTTACTCATCCATCTGCTGAAAGAATTCACCAAGACATAGAGAAAAGGAGAGTGTGGCACGGTCTGTGGAGTGTCGGACATTGACTTCTAAAGTGCAGTGAGGCTGGAGCAGCTGCTTTGGGGCCCTTACACAGCCCAACAGCAGCACCAGCTGCAAAGTGCTAATGAGCAAGCTACATCAGGTATGGAATGGGACATGTGGAGGGAAGAGAAGAGAAGAGAAGAGAAGAGAAGAGAAGAGAAGAGAAGAGAAGAGAAGAGAAGAGAAGAGAAGGAGGAAGGGAGAGAGATGGGGAGGGAGGGAGGGAGGAAAGAAGGAGCTAACTTTTCTTTAAGTCTGCTAACTCAGCAGAGGAAGTATGGCACTGTCGCTATCACGAGTGAGGCACAAGAGTTCAACAACCTGCCTTAGCTTCCCCATCCAGTGACATGGCCAGGGCCCCAGCCAAGGTCTGATGGGTCCCAGTGTCCAGTATGAGTCTACATGTTGCAGTCAGCATGTTGACCCGATTTTAGTGGGTGGACAAACTAATAGGTCAAGGAGTGGTAGTCGTCAGTATCAAACAAGCAGCACCCAGGATGGTAGAGGGCTCACCTCTTCATCCATGGCAATTCTTCTGGAAAGAAATGAGCATATGAATGAAGAACAGTGCAAATTTTCAGAAGAATGCATCCCTTTTACTTTTGTTTCATATCTGGCAGGGCACTCAAAATCACACCATGTCATCCAATGGCTTTGCAAATGCTTATGATGTTGGCTGCCCGCATAATCATGTAACTGATAAAACCAGCAAGATGGGGACCTCTCTGTACCTTGCTCCAAGTTCAATGCCACATTAATGTCAAGCAGGAGTGCAATCCGGGTCTCCTGATCCCAGGCTTGCCTCTTAGCTATCTGAATTTTCCAAAAGCCTCCTGACAAGGTTCTGGCTCAAAAGGTAATTTAAGATAATGAGTCTCGGTGGGACTTTGGGCCATCTGACCACAGAAGGAGACTGACTTAGAGATGGGCAAAGGCACTTTCAGTGTTGAAAAGTGGGTCTGGGGGTTCCCCAAACACAAGTGTTATGATGAGTTTATTTCCTATTTCTTGCAAAAGGTCTGTAGCAAGCAGCAAGGACTGTGCAGAGGGCTGTTAGCACTCAGTGAGAGGAACTTGGGGAAGATGCTCCACCCTCGGATGGAGCTGGGAGTTGGGGAGCAGGGACGGTGCTGTGGGACTGAGTCTCATGAGGTCATGCCTGTCACACAGCGTACAAGCCATGGCTGGTGACCCTCAGCCCCTCCTCAAGAGAGAGACACAGGGGCAAGAAAGGGCCATTTACTGTTCGCCATGCTCAAGGCAGTCTAAAGGGCAAGACGATTCCAGGCATCCTTCTAACAGTGTTCCAGGGGAACCAGGAGACAAGGTTCTGGCGCTGGCAAGGAGTGCTCAGGCGCAGACGATCCCGGCCAGTCTGTCCCTCACATGGTCAGCATGTGATCCAGAGTCTAGTAGCTGGAGAGCTGCCCAGGACAGGCAGGCTACCAAGAGACAGTCCCGAGTGTAAATGGGAGAGGTCACGCTGCTGGCCAATGTGGGGGCCACCCTGTGTTGATGCCCGAGGTGACGGCGCCAACAAATCAGATTTCTTGTCATACTCTGTGGAGGTGACACCTCTGGATCATCTAACAGTAAAAAGGATAGAAAACAAATGGATTTCCTTTTCAAGGTAGACAATGTAAATGACATGGTCAGAGTTGTGGCATAATGGGCAAAGCCACTGCTTGTTATGCCAGCATCCCATAAGGACACTGGTTCAAATCTCGGCTGTACCACTTCTGATCCAGTTCCCTGCTTACAGCCTGAGAAAGCAATGGAGGAAGGTCCAAGAGCTTGGGTCCATGTACCCGTGGGAGATCTGGAAGAGGCTCCTGGGTCCTGGCTTCAGACTAGCCCACCCCTAGTGGGTCGTTATGGGATGTGAGCAGTGAACCAGCAGATGGAAGATCTCTCTCTCCCTTTCTGTCTGTCTA